ATGCACAAGGAACCCAAAAACAATTCAGCAGCTCCTAAGAGGGTGGTGCTGCACTAGAAACACCGGCAACCCAACAACCCATGGCATGACTGCCCCCCCCCCCCCACATTTACAGGGGGACCTCCTTCCAGACTTGCTCCATCTCCTAGATTCTGCCCTGCTGCTCTGCACACTGAAAGGAAAGGGGGGTCTGATAGGGACTCCTGGATGTAAGGGGGCTGCTCATGGACACTCCTGATTGGACTAGATGGAGAGGTGGGGTGGTGATCCTACAATCTGCACCTCGTCCAGTCAGAGAACACTTTGCATTAATTAGAGAAAATCCATGATGTTCCCTGAAAGGTGACTGTGCGGAGCGGGTGACCTCCTTTATTCAGCTAACAGTAAGGCAGTCTCTCAGCATGGAACCTGGGAGCTACTGAGATCACTGTAGTAGTAGTAGCAGTGTAGTAGTGTGTGTAGTAGAGGTGTAATAGTGGTGTAGCTGCAGTGTAGAAGTGATGTAGTAGAGGTGTAATAGTGGTGTAGCTGCAGTGTAGAAGTGGTGTAGCTGCAGTGTAGTAGTGATGTAGTAGAGGTGTAATAGTGGTGTAGCTGCAGTGCAGTAGTGATGTAGTAGCAGTGTAGTAGAGGTGTAATAGTGCTGTAGATGCAATGTAGAAGTGGTGTAGTAGAGGTGTAATGCAGTGGTGTAGCTGCAGTGTAGAAGTGTAATAGTGTAGTAGAGGTGTAATAGTGGTGTAGCTGCAGTGTAGAAGTGGTGTAGTAGCAGTGTAGTAGTGATGTAGTAGAGGTGTAATAGTGATGTAGTAGAGGTGTAATAGTGGGTGTAGCTGCAACGTAGAAGTGGTGTAGTAGAGGTGTAATAGTGGTGTAGCTGCAGTGTAGTAGTGATGTAGTAGAGGTGTAATAGTGGTGTAGCTGCAGTGTAGAAGTGATGTAGTAGAGGTGTAATAGTGGTGTAGCTGCAACGTAGAAGTGGTGTAGTAGAGGTGTAATAGTGGTGTAGCTGCAGTGTAGAAGTGGTGTAGTAGAGGTGTAATAGTGGTGTAGCTGCAGTGTAGAAGTGGTGTAGTAGAGGTGTAATAGTGGTGTAGCTGCAGTGTAGAAGTATGTAGTAAGTGGTGTAGTAGAAGTGGTGTAGTAGAGGTGTAATAGTGGTGTAGCTGCAGTGTAGAAGTGGTGTAGTAGAGGTGTAATAGTGGTGTAGCTGCAGTGTAGAAGTGATGTAGTAGAGGTGTAATAGTGGTGTAGCTGCAGGGTAGAAGTGGTGTAGTAGAGGTGTAATAGTGGTGTAGCTGCAGTGTAGTAGTGATGTAGTAGAGGTGTATTAGTGGTGTAGCTGCAGTGTAGTAGTGATGTAGTAGAGGTGTAATAGTGGTGTAGCTGCAGTGTAGAAGTGGTGTAGTAGAGGTGTAATAGTGGTGTAGCTGCAGTGTAGAAGTGGTGTAGTAGAGGTGTAATAGTGGTGTAGCTGCAGTGTAGTAGTGATGTAGTAGAGGTGTAATAGTGGTGTAGCTGCAGGGTAGAAGTGATGTAGTAGAGGTGTAATAGTGGTGTAGCTGCAGTGTAGTAGTGATGTAGTAGAGGTGTAATAGTGGTGTAGCTGCAGTGTAGTAGTGATGTAGTAGAGGTGTAATAGTGGTGTAGCTGCAGTGTAGAAGTGGTGTAGTAGAGGTGTAATAGTGGTGTAGCTGCAGGGTAGAAGTGATGTAGTAGAGGTGTAATAGTGGTGTAGCTGCAGTGTAGAAGTGATGTAGTAGAGGTGTAATAGTGGTGTAGCTGCAGGGTAGAAGTGGTGTAGTAGAGGTGTAATAGTGGTGTAGCTGCAGTGTAGTAGTGATGTAGTAGAGGTGTATTAGTGGTGTAGCTGCAGTGTAGTAGTGATGTAGTAGAGGTGTAATAGTGGTGTAGCTGCAGTGTAGAAGTGGTGTAGTAGAGGTGTAATAGTGGTGTAGCTGCAGTGTAGAAGTGATGTAGTAGAGGTGTAATAGTGGTGTAGCTGCAGTGTAGAAGTGGTGTAGTAGAGGTGTAATAGTGGTGTAGCTGCAGTGTAGTAGTGATGTAGTAGAGGTGTAATAGTGGTGTAGTAGCAGTGTAGTAGTGATGTAGTAGTGGTGTAATAGTGGTGTAGCTGCAGGGTAGAAGTGGTGTAGTAGAGGTGTAATAGTGGTGTAGCTGTAGTGGTGTGTAGGTGTAGTGTGTATGTAGTGGTGTAGAGGTGTAATAGTGGTGTAGCTGCAGTGTAGAAGTGATGTAGTAGAGGTGTAATAGTGGTGTAGCTGCAGGGTAGAAGTGGTGTAGTAGAGGTGTAATAGTGGTGTAGCTGCAGGGTAGAAGTGGTGTAGTAGCAGTAAAACAATGATGTAGTAGCGGTTTAGTAGCGGTTTAGTAGCACTGTCTAATGCAATAATTTCCAAATTTTATAGGGATCCCACAGGCAGGGCCAGTGCTACCACTAGGCAGTCAAGGCAGTCGCCTAGGGCGCACCCACAGCTGCTGGTTTCCCTACTCTCCACCATAGCCAGGTCTGGGAGGGTGCTGGAGTGGACTACAGCCCCCCAGATTTCTGTTGTGCCCCTCCAGGTCGGTCTTTCCATGGACACTGTGCCTGCCCACTGAGTGCCTTCACCCATTTCCGCACTCACGGCTGGGACAAGGCAAGAGCAGCCTGGAGCAGAGAATCCTGCAAAGGAGAAATGACAGGAGGTAGGCTGGAGGTGCGGGCTGTGTTCCCCTCCCCTCCCCCTCCAGGATCGCGCTCTTACATCACCATGTTCTGTGTCTGATTCATTCCCTGGCTTCCTGCTGCCGAGAGATGAGCGGTCATTGGAGGAGATAGAGGTGGGAGATGGGGGGGGGGGGGGGGTGCTAGGAGGGAGGATTTGAGTTAGGAGAGGGGGAATGGGGGGGGGGGGGGGGGGGGAAGGGGGGGAACTGTGCTGGGGGGGATTGGGATGGGTTGTGCTGGGGAGGGGGGGATTTGTGCAGGGAATGGTAATTTAGAGGGCATTGTGCTAGGAGGAGGGATTTAGGGGGATTTATACTAGGAAAGGGGATTTGGGGGAGAGGATTTGTGCTAGGGTGGAACATTTGAGTGGAAAGAGGATGTGTGCTAGGAGGGGTGTACAACTACAGATTCAGGTTTTTTTTTGGGGGGTTGGGGCGCAAGTAGCTGGTCTTGCCTAGAGTGCAAAATAGTCTGACACCATCCCTGCCCACAGGTATGGTACCTATAGATATACATTAGTCCAAGCTGGACCAACGTGACCATACCTGAACTCCAGCTTTAGATGTACTCATACAATGGGGTCCCACCACCCTCTGATGTCATCAGGAACAATGCAGGTCCAGCAGGCCTGTGATGTACATGGGCACAGAGAGGGCCCACCCACATTCCAGAGGAGGAGAGTGATGGCTGCCAGGGGAGTGATGGATATTTGGACTGATTAGTTTCTCTGTTAGGCTTAACCCTTGAATATTGGGAGAAGGAGGAAAGGGGGGGGGGGGGGGGTCCCCTCTGCATGGGTCAATGTTTGAGTTTTTGGTACGTTATTCACTATGTGATGCCTGTTTATGTGTCCTTGCTTCATAAGCCAGTTATAGACTTGGGCGGGTGGCCACTTTTATGCATGTTTGAGCTTTTGGTACGTGGGTGCACTAGGACCCTGGTTGCCATTGTGCTACATGCTGGGGTCCAGTGCACTCCTTTGCCTTTAAGAGGGGTGGCTCCCTCAGGTCCACCTGCCCTTGATCTAACCATTAAATGCATGTGCCTCTACTATGGGGACTCACAAATTGTAGAGTTAGGACCACAGATATCAGGGTGCCGTGTCGTGGCTCTGTGGTTTACGTATGTATTTGCAAATGTGTGCTAACTAAACCCCAGTTATAACGCAACGCATACTGTTAGACAGGTTAATTCGGTTGTTAGCAAGCTGGCTGGCAAGTTGTCCAAGAACATTGTTCTCTCCCCCTCATTCAATTTATTATTAGCCTGGAGTTGGTCTTTAAAACCTACCGGCAGAAACAAATCATTTAATTTGGCTCTTTTATTTTCAGAGGTATGACTTGGCATCCCATTGGAAGGCTCCTGACCACATAGACCATATTCCATACCTAAAGTAACTGAGATTTCTAAATGAGCCAAATTCATTTCTGTGGAGTAAGAGTTCTGAAGTTCCGAAGTTGTGATGGGGATCTCTGGGGACCAATTATACGACTTTGCATACAGCATGTGTATATGTGCGAAACTTCATTCCCATCTAACCACCGAACCTATGACATCCTTCCTCTGCTCTCCTTATATCCAGATATCTGTGAGAGTTGATGATTGCGGACAGTTCAGATCTGGCCTAAGCACTGCCTGTCCTATATAGGAGACATAGGAGACCACAGGGACAGATCACATCACCTCATTACTACTACAAACTGTAGAGAAAATTACAAGAAAAAGAAAATGATTTGGTTCAATGCAAGTAAGACATCACCATGTACGTAGATGTGGACATTACACAATGAAAATGTCTATAAAATGATGACATATTGGTCCATTCTATGAGATGAATTGTATACATTATAACTACAAAGTTCAGATCGAGGTTGGTGGTAAAAAGGTGGCTACTCAGATGTACATCTGTTTAAATTGTTCCATTTTTTTAAAGAGGTCCAAAGTGTAATCGATGACGTCGTAGACATGAGTAGTCTTGGAACATTTACCTATTAGGACTTTCTCCAAAGATATGACCTGGAAACGTAGGAGGTGCTCAGCGCTGTGGTTCAGCAACGCTCCTCAGACTCCTCAAGTAAATACAACATGTCTGGTCAGTGTGACTGTTACTCCAACTTCTCCATAAAGATCAATACTACAACGATCAGTCCTTTCCCTCATGTCAGGGTACTAGGAGTAATCCAATCACTGTCCATATCTCGCAGACTTCACCTCCATAATATCTCCAAAACACACCCATTTTTAACCAATGAAATCACCTAGAAACTTATTCACTCCGTCTTTATCTCTCACCTTGACTAATGTACCTCCCCCCTTGTTGGCTTACCTCTACACGGACTACCCCCCCCCCCCCCTTCAGTCTATCGTGAATGCTACTGCCATACTCAACTACCTTACCAACCGCTCAGAGTCCTCCACCCTTCACTTACCAATCCATCCACTGGCTTCTATTCACCTCCAACTGCCAATCCCTCCACTGGCCTCTGCTCATAGCCCTCCACCTCTCTCTGTTAATCCCTCCAATGGCCTCCACTCTGTCCTCCACCCCTCTCTGCCAATCCCTCCACTGGCCTCCACCCCACTCTGCCAATCCCTCCACTGGCCTCTGCTCAGAGCCCTCCACCTCTCTCTGTTAATCCCTCCACTGGCCTCCACTCAGTGTCCTCCACCCCTCTCTGCCAATCCCTCCATTGGCCTCCACCCCACTCTGCCAATCCCTCCACTAGCCTCCATTCAGTTTCCTCCACCCCTCTCTGCCAATCCCTCCACTGGCCTCCACCCCACTCTGCCAATCCCTCCACTGGCCTCCATTCAGTTTCCTCAACCCCTCTCTGCCAATCACTCCACTGACCTCCACTCAGTGTCCTCCACCCCTCTCTGCCAATGCCTCCACTGGCCTCCACTCAGTGTCCTCCATCCCTCTCTTCCAATCCCTACACTGCCCTCCATCCAGTGTCCTCCATCCCTCTCTGCCAATCCCCCCACTGGCCTCCACTCATTAGCCGCCACCCCTCTGTGCTGATCCCTCTACTAGCCTCCACTCAGTGTCCACCACCACTCTCTGCAAATCCCTCTACTGGCCTCCACTCAGTGTCCTCCCCCCTCTCTGCCAGTCCCTCAACTGGCTTCCAATCAATGTCCTCCACCCCTCTCTGCCAATCCCTCCACTGGCCTCCACTCAGTGTCCTCCCCCCTTCTCTGCCAGTCCCTCCACTGCCTCAACTGGCTTCCAATCCACTGGCCTCAATGTCCTCCACCCCTCTCTGCCAATCCCTCCATTGGCCTCCCTTCAGTGTCCTCCACCCCTCTCTGCCAATCCCTCAACTGGCTTCCAATCAATGTCCTCCACCCCTCTCTGCCAATCCCTCCACTGGCCTCCATTCAGTGTCTGCCAATCCCTCCACTGGCTTCTGACTGCCTAACAAAAAAACTCAAAGCCATCTACAATTCTGTCCCAAACTATATCACCAACTTTGTTATAATATCACCCAAACCATCCTCTCTGCTCCTACCAAGACCTCATTCCCTCTTGCCTCTTTGTTTCCTCCTTCCATGCTTACCTCCAGGACGTTTCCACTGCATTTCCCACCCTCTGGAACTCCCTACCTCAATGTATCCGGCTATTTCCGTCTCTGCCCCTTTTAGGTGATCACTACAAATTCATCTTTTCTGGGAAGCCTAAATCACCTCCAACTAGCAACTGATTCTTTTAATCTCTCATCAGCTCATCACTGACAGCTATGAACTTTTCTTTCACTTAGTCCACCCTATTAGATTGTAAGCTCTCAGGAGCAGGACCCTCGTAATCCTCTTGTGTTGCATTGTATTGTAACTGTACTGTCTCCCTTCATATGTGAGGGGCTGCGCAACTGTTAATGCTATAAATTGGCAGGCAAAATAGAAAAATGTCATGTATCTGCAGTGTATACCTAATGACCAAGAGGAAATAAAGAGGACCTGTACTGTGAAAGCTGTGTGCAAAAGAAAAAGAAGCAGAGGATAAGGTGCTAGTCAACAGTACAGGGGTCCAGAAGCTGTTTTTGTCCCCATTTTTGACTTACCACAGCAGCCATCTTGGTAGAGGCAGGGCTTTGCTTCATCATGACAGAGCAGACCCACTGAACCCCAAGGGGGGATATTCAAGAAGGAGCAGATGTATATAACAGATGAAGCAAACTCATGGAGATCCTTTGACTGCAGGTCTACAAGTATGACTTCCACTCCAGCAAGGAGAACAGTGAGAAGCACAGTAGTGACATCACCAGCTCTCACCCTAAATGACATGAGAGTAGCAGTCAGTGGCAGCAATACCTTTCATTAGTAATTCTCAAATATTAGGACCAGGGTCTGGCAAATCCTTCCAAAACCCTCTGTGATTCAATGGTAAAAATGTTTATACTCATACTGTATAATAAAAGTATGGGAATACAAAATAGAGCACTACCCCTTTAGGAGTCGCTGACGTTTTGGGTCCCCCTATGGTCCTGCACAGCCAGGCAACATGCATTTTCCACACAGACATGCATCCAGGAGACAGTAACCAGTCCTCGGTGTGTATGGGATGCCAAAGGGTATAACATCTGAGGACAAACTTCCTGGAACTATCTACAAGTCTTTATAGCACAATTTCTCTTCTGGTAAGCTGGCCAGCATCTCTTATAGTACCATCCAAGACCCCAGATGACTCCTCTCCTCATCCAGCTGTACTGGTTGAATCCCTGGGCAGGAGATCCAGTACCTGACACTGCAGTGAGAACAGTCCCGGGTAGTCACCTAATACAGTTTCCCACCAGAGTGAGTGCTCCTTCCCCTATCTGGTCCAGGGGGTGCAGGTCTACTCACTCAGTCCTTCTCCTGTGCTGCTGATGGGGTTGGTGGCTCTTACCAGGCCTTCTAGCTGGGTCACTCCTCCTCTGCCACACAGGTGATCCTCTCTCAGGGGGCCGGTGAAGTCCTGAACTTTTGTCTCTCCAAGGTCCTCTGCTGATAGGTGAGCCCCTCTGTCCATCTGGGTCCCCTCCCAGGCTTCTGCTCTCCATTCCCACTTCCTTTCCATCCTCCACCTGACCTCTCCTGCTGCTGAGCAGGCTCGCTTACTCTTAAAGGCTGTAATAGCCCTTTGCCAAGCCTCCTGTTCGGAATTGGCCAGGATCCTCTAAGAGTACAGACCAGCCACTCCTCACATCTGCCCACTGCTTCTAGATATTTCTCCAACATTCTAGAGCAGGGGGAAATTCCAGAGGGCTGGTCTGCAGAGCCTCTCAACCCTGACCCAAATTTGACCCACCTGGCTATCACACCCAGGCTGCTACTCAGCCCTCCTTGCTGAGAATTTAAACTAGAGCTCCCCTTAGCTGACCAGGAGGGTGCTACAAAAATATGTTTGAAAATTCTAGAAACCTCTAGATAGGACTGGGTGTCACTATGGGGGGATGGTATTGGATGTGGTAGGTAACTCTGCAGAAGATTCTGAAGGGATCTGGAGGCAACAGTAGGGAGTGAGGTCCCTGGAAGGGGATGGGGCTCTCTTCAGGAGACTAAGGGTTCTGCAGGGGCAATCTGTGAGACTGGAAGGCACTGCAAGACTGGAATGTTCCGTAGGATTCAGTAGGGGACACTGTGAGGGACTGGAGGCTCTGCAGCACACTAGAGCACTTTGTGAGAGGTTGGGGGCACTCTGGGAGGTTGGTGAGGACTGTGGGTTTGAAGGCCTGGAGGCATCATGACAGGTTGAGGAGACCTACAGGTCACTGTGGAAAGTTGAGGCTTAGCGGGTCTGCAGTTAACTGGAGGCCCAGGAGGAGGGGGCCACACCCCAGCAGAGGGCCATGTCCCTGTTTTTGAGAGCTTAGATGATCTCACACTGTAGATGTACAGCTACGAGCCTCAATGCGCAGGAGGTGTTACATGTCAGAAAGAATTGCATTTGTGAGGTAACTCTTTCAGGAGACTTTGTAGGTACAATTAACACATCTAGATGTTCCCTGTAAGATACAAAACCTTCATTTCTGAGTTCAGGTCCAATTTAACTCTACGATGGAAACAGTTTCTAGAACATTTCTTTTTTTTTTTTTTTTTCTCCGAAGACCATTACTCTCTCTCAATCTCCCAATCTCTTCGCCTCCAGGCACCTCCTTCTCTCCTTCCTCAGAAGTTGTATAGAGATGCAATAAAGATATTTCCTAAAGAGAAACTGCAAAGAAGGTTTTACTTATTAGAAATGTCTCCAGATCTGAGATGATAACAAAGAGATAGAACCCTTTATTGAATGCTGTAAAATTACTTTATTGAATACTTTACAGCTTCCATTGTTACCATCCCCTCCCGGATGAATGGCCCTCAAATTAAACATAATGATGTAGGATATCAAACTTCCCTTTGTAGTACAAGTTGTTATATTGTAATACAGATGTATCGTCATCTCTTCTTTCTGAAGTAAATAAATAAATACATTAAAATGAGAGCTTATAAAAAAAAGTGTTAAAAAGTAGCCAAAACCTGTACCGGTGCTGGTGGACGTCTATGAGTATAAGTAGCACATTAAGCCCAATCATCAGCATTTTTATTTATTTATTGATTTATTGATTTTTTATGCAAAAGGGGTGGAAGAACATTCACTGTTAGAGATTTTGCAGATGCCGTAAAAACACTGATACGTGTTTGTTAGTATTTTTCAACAGTAATGAGCCCAACGTACCTGGGTGCTGTTTAGTTTGGTTCGGGGCGGGCAAGTTAGTATGGCAAATCCAAACCCTATTCAAGTCAATAGGAGCCGAATTTTAGTGTACTGCACCCCCTAAGGAGCTGCTGGTGAACTTGGTCTAGACCACACCTTCACTATTCTTCAGCACTGGGGTTATTTATTCACAAACCCACAGGATCATCGGTTGCCTCCTGCCAATATCCACCAGGCTCTTCCTAATGAGGGAGATGTAGACTATAAGACAGCTGGACTCTTGCCCACCCAATTTCATCATGGCTCTCTCCAGTGATTTTTTCCAGACCCAACTTGATCCCTGGACTTGAACTTGCACATCCTGTAGGCAACTAGCTAAGCCTAGCTAGCATCTTGGTGTTCTCCCAAAAGCTTCTTCTAAGGTCCTGCCCCAGGGGCAAATGATAAATTGCTTCTGGTTTCTGAGACCATAGAGGTGATCAGAGCTGTTCCGGCCTGCAGTCAGCGGTCAGCTCTTTGGTCAGCCGGTGGTCTCTTGGTGGGACGAGAGAGCGTGAGAGTGCTGCAAAAGATGGCAGGAAGGGTTGAAATGTTCCTTCTCACTGCTTGTAAAAGCAATCTGGTGGCCAATTAGCCGCTAAGATTGCTTTCACAAGAAAGCCTACCGCCTGCAGCTGCAGGCATCATCTTGGTATACCCCGAAATCCAGCAACATAGCGGAACATTGCTGTTGGTTGAGTAGATTCCCACATGGAAGAAAAATATATTTGAAATACTACAATTTCGGCCATTACATTACATTACATTACATTGAGTTTATATAGCGCCAAAGGGTTTGCTCAGCGCTGTACAATAGAGGGGGGGACAATACATGAAACATTACAGCAGCTACGAACAGCACACGAGGGGTA